CTGAACCGATCCCGGAAGCTGAGCCTGAGCCTGAGATCAAAGGTCCTGAGATACCAGACAGTCCTCTTTATAATAACTGGCACAATCTGTCATCCAAGGACCGGAAGAAACGTGAGAAATCATTGATTAAGAACGGACTTCCTATCCCGGGTAAAGATTTCGACCTTCCTGATCCGAATGCTGAGCCACCCAAAGAGCCTGAGCCTGAGCCAGTGCCTGAGCCTGAGCCTATTCAAGAAGAGCCGGCACCACCTCCAGCCCCAGAACTGGAGCCTGAACAAGAGCCTGAACCTGAGCCAGCTTGGGAGCCACAGCCCGAGCCTGCGCCCGAGCCTGTCCCTGAAGTGGTCCCAGAACAGACTTATGAGGAGGAGAGCTGGGGAATATGGAACGCTCCGAAAGAAAAGAAGAAGAAGAAGAGCAAGATCGCAGCTGAGCCTCCACCGCCCGCACCGACACCGCCATCTCTGGGGTGGACTGCCGAGCCGGAGGGATACGTACCCACTGACCAAGTCCCCGAACAGCCTCTCTGGGATGACTCCGACAGCAAGCCTTCGAAGAGCAATAAGAAGGGTTACAAGGAGGAAGAGACACCTAAGAGTGGCATGGGGTTCTGGGCCACCATAGGTGCTGCAACTATGGGCAAATCCAAGACTACAAAGAAAAAGTCATCAGAGAAGACTAAAGCCATAGAGGCAGCACCCGAGCCTGAGCCTGAACCTGTACCAAGTCATCCTGCAGAGGATGATTTACTCATTGACGTTGACGATTCAAAGATGCCCGAGGCGCCCGAAGCGCCAATCCCGCCAGTTGTCGACGAACCACCCGCGCCAGCCGCGCCGCCAGCGAAGACTCCCGTTGTCACCTCGAAGACCAAGTCATCGGCCAAATTGTCCGTCTCAGAGCGAATCAAAGTTTTGGAGCAAGGGAAGAAGGGGAAATCAAAGGACAAGGTTGCTAAGGAAGAGCCTGCCCCACCCCCAGAGGAACTCCCTGCTCCCCCGCAACCCGAGCCTGTCGAGTTCTTTGACCCCGAACCGGTTCAGTTTAAAAAGCCCTCGAGGGATTTGGTTCCAGGCAGTTTCCCAGACGCATTCGACGACGAGGAGGACTTTTACGATATACCCCCGCCACCTGCCCCGGAACCGCCTGCCCCAGAGCCGGAACCTCAGTTTGAGCCAGAACCTGAGCCTCAACAACCTGAGCCCGAGCCCGAGCCCGAGCCGGTGCCTTTGTCAAAGAAATCAAAGAAGAAGGACAAAAAGAAGGCGAAGGCTATTGTGCTTGAACCTGTGCCTGAGCCGGTACCTGAACCAGTTCCTGAGCCTGTACTTGAACCACCGGCTCCTGAGCCCGTGCCTGAGCCGGTCCCTGAGCCCGTTGCAGAACCAGAGCCAGAACCCCAGCCCGAGCCGGAACCCGAGTCAGCCCCCGCACCTATTCCCATCTCAAAAACTGAAAAGAAGAAGAAAAAGAAGAAGGTCGTTGAGCCAGAACCGGTTCCTGAGCCAGTGCAAGAACCGGAGCCTGCTTTTGAACCTGAACCTGAGCCGGAGCCAATAGCTGAACCTGAACCCGAGCCCGTACCTGAGCTCGAGCCTGAATTCGTTCCTGCTCCTGCTCCCGAGCCTCCGATCGAGCAAGCACGGGAGATAGAGCCGGTGGTCGACGAAGCACCTGTTCCCAAGCCCGAAAAGCCGAAGAAAAAGAGCAAAAAGGTGTCTAGTCGAGAAAAAGCACCCCCGGTCGTGGAACCAACCCCTGTCGATGCTGAGATTGACGAAGCAGCGGCAGAAGCTGATGTAGGCGCGGGCGGCCCTCCTACGCCTCCACCAGAGCCTGCTGAACCTGCCGAGCCTGAACCAGAGAAGCCGGCCAGGAAGGAGCGTGTTCGTGTTGAGCGCACTCCTGGTTCAGCATCTTGGGGATTTTGGGGTGCCACGCCTCAAAAGCAGCCCAGCACTAGGGAACATCGGCGTAGACGGGAACGTGAGCGGGAACGAGAACAGTCACCCCCGCCTATGGTCAGATCGAGATCGACCAGACAACCAAGGTCTAGGGATCTTGAGAACGAGGGAGAGAAGTCGACCTCTGACAAGGACAAGCGCAATAGCCGAGGTATGACTCTTGCTGATTTTGTCCTGGGCACGCCGCCGCCGCCTAGTAGGACAAAGTCCAGTCGAAGACACGGAACACACGCGTCCAGGAATACCTCAAGACGTCCATCCGTGGGTATGGAAGACGCCGGGTTCCCCAGTCCTCCACCGGACGATAGCCGGGATATGCCGGATAAAGCCGCCAGGATGATGGGCGTAAACGGCTCCTCCCGGAGAGAAAGAGAGAGACGGCATGAATCTCGTAGAAGATCTCGTATGTACTCTCTTATATAACTGCCTGTAGCGCTGCTAACAGTTTTTTAGGCGCTCCTGACCCGTATGCGGTTGAAGACGAGGACATCGTCATGGTAGACCGGGACGACATTGATGCCCCGAAGGAGGGCTCAAGGGGATCGAGGCACTCCGACAGACGATCGAGGAGAAAGGTAAGCGAGGATACCAGTGATATTACCCGGAAAGCTCTCACGATGCTAACTTCGTGCTTAGTCTCGGTCTAGACAAGAAGAGCATTATGAAGATGCTGAGGTGTTCTCGGGACCGGAAGATATCGCTTTTGTGGAAGCACCAAGAGAGCGACGCGTGAGACGATCAAGTACTGCTCCCAAGAAACCAGAGTCCACTGGTCTTATGGGCTTCATCGGCTCTTTGCGGAAGAATGCTCGTCCGGACCCTCCAGAGCGCCGAAAGTCCAGGTCTCATCGTGATGAGGATGCTAGGTACATGACAGATCCAGAGCGAGAGGAGCGGCGTGCAAGACGCGAAGCTCGCAGGAGACGTGCCGAAAGGGAGGCTGAGCTCGACGGCTTTGTCACTGAGGGCGGTCCAGTAGGTGGGTTCCCGGAAACCGACATGGACGAAGTTGAGGCTAGACGGGCAGCCCGTCGAGCGAAACGATCCTCTCGACAGGCGCCGTCTGATCAACTCCGTGAGAGCGAGTGGCGCGACGCCGAAGAAAGACGTGCTCGACGGAGGGAAAGAGAGAGAGCTCGTGAGCAAGAGATGCAGGAGAGAATGCTCCGTGAGGAGGAAGAGAGGGAAGCAAGACGCCAGGAAGAGCGAAGGCTTCGTAGAGCAGCTCGTGAAGAGCGCCGTGCTCGAGAAGAAGCAGAGGCCCGCGAGGCAGAAGAGCAGGCCGAAGCCGAAGCCAGAGCAGCAGAACGGCGCGAACGCAGACGGCGGAGGGAGGCAGAGATGCAAGAAGCCGCCGCGTACGAGCCCCGGTCCAAACGTCGATCCTCTCGTCACCCTGTCGATGACAGAGCAGCCCGAGAATTCTATCTCGGCGGCTACGAGGGCGAGAGGGCTTACCGTCCGGAACGGTCTACTGAAGAGGGGGTGAGGCCCAAACGTCGCAAGTCCAGGGCTCCAGAACCGGAGCGCGCACCACCGATGATGTCCGGAGGACGCAAGGATAAAACTTCGTCCTGGGTGCATTCGCAAGCGAGCGACCCGCCTGAACCACCACCGGTCGTGGCCACCGTATTGGACATGCCACCTGGTCCAGGTGAGCAAGCCCAGGCGAACTCGGTCTCCTCGGACGAGGAGGCACGACGTGAACTGCGGCGTCGGGCCCGACGACGAGCCAGATATCCTGGCATGACGGATCAGGAAATCGACGAGTTGCGGGCACGAAAGCGCGAGGCAAGACGGTCTGAGCGTAGTTCAGGCAGCGCTGATTACGAACGGGTCCGGGGCATGAGGTCGTACGACGATCGTTATGCACCGCCAGTCAATGGGCCTAGGATGCCGAATTGGTTCAAGAGACTGACCAATTTGGGTTGAGCTGGTGGTTTGGAGCATTGATCTGAGGATGTTTTCTTTTCTTTACGAATGGAATGATGAATGACATGAAGCGATATTTGCCATTGAAGGGATATACGATTTGGCCATGATGTACGATTAACTTACTGAGAATGGACTCTGCTTGATGGATATACCAGAGTGAATGAACTGATGACATTATATCCTCTTTACACTGTAGTATAGTAGTATATACAACCCACCCAATTAAGATGACGATGCCATCTCCCTCTCCCTCCGTCTATTCTCCAAAAACCCCCTCCCACCCTCATACACACAAAGATACACTCCAAACGAAACAGCCGTCCACACAGACCGTATCGCCCCTCCCTTGAACAATCCCCTGACCCCTTCCTCTCTATACACCTTCTTTCCCACTTCCCACGCCCCCCACCTCCTCCTTTCTCCCCTCTCCTCCCCACCATCACCAATATTACTGCTAGCAGTACTCCCAGCCCCCAACATCATCCTCGTCTTAACCACATCCACCGGCGTCGTCACAACAGACGAAACCGTCCCAGCAATAGCAGCAGAAACACCCGTGATAAGAGCCCTCTGCACATTCCCAAACTGTCCCAACACATCCCCTCCCACTTTCCCATCCCCATCTCCTCCATCCCCCTTCCGACACCGAAGTAAATACCCCGCCCCCAACCCCCTAAGATACTCAAATAGAGGGAAATTCAACCCCGTAAAGGGCAGATTCCGGCCCAGCAGCGCGGTGTATCCACTCCAGAGGGATAATGGCCTGTGGCGGAACTTTCGTAGCGTGAGGAGGGTTATATTTGTTTTTGTTCTTGGTGGTGGTGTTTTCTTTAACTCGTTGGGGGTTGAATGTGGGTTGGGGTTGGTATTAGTATATACCTGCGCATTCTGCTTAATTACCTCCGCAGGAGTCAAAATAAAGCAAGAGACGGATTCAGCGACGCAGGAGGAGAGGGAGTGGATTATTGGTGTTGGAAGGAGGATGGGGGATTGTTGTGTAGTGGTGAGGGTGTGTTTTAGACCTTCGTAGGTGGTGAAGAATGCTCCTGCTATCTCATCATCATACATATCAGTTATCCATTATCTATCTAGTAGTATTCAATGTGAATGGTTTGGGGGGTATGGGAGGGCCATACAAGCAGGTAAAGTAGCGAGAATGACGCTCCCTACACCTTGGTAGAGACCCCTGAAGAGGAGTTTACGGTTGATTGCCCCCGTCGTAGCATCTTTGTATATTCGGTTGTAGGTTGGGGATTGGATGCGCGTTTTGAGCGTGTCGATGGGGTAGACGAGGAAGTCGACGATTAGGACGGCGAAGGCGCCTGACTATTTGATGTTCATTCTATTAGTGTTGTGGTTGGTGGTTTGATTGTTGAGTATGGACGTACCAGCCAGATATCGGTGTTGGTATTGTACATCATGCATAATATCTATTGAAACAGGAATTGAGTCTATGTTCATTGAAAATACTAGGTAAGGCATGATCTTATCTAGTAGTAAGTTATCTATCTCGTTATCGATGAGGTCATCACCACGTGCCAGTAACTGGCCTTGCCCTAAGGCGGAATTAGGGCTGGATTAGCTACTCTTTAATCATAATCAATACAATAAGAGGTAAAGAGGAGCAGCAGCAGCAGTAGCAGCAGTCAAAAGTAAGGAGGTATGGTATCAAGTCATGCCCGTTCTAATTCTCATGGAAGAAGCAAACAGGAGTCATATTAACAGCCCGTCAGATACAGAAGTTTTCCCTCCCTACGCCGTAAGGTCATGCAATTCCAAGAACTAATCATCATCGCCCGCCTTTCCTATTTTCCTTTCCTTTCCGTTCCTCCGCATCCATCTATTTGGCCGTCTCACCCGGAAGCAGGTTGCCCTTGACGGCGAACATCTTACCCGTCGTCGCGGACACGAAGCTGTCGACCTGGCGAGCGTACTGCTCGACCTGGCGGCTGTTGAGCATGCTGTCCAGGCGGCTGGGCTCCTGGGGCAGCTTGAACAGCCGCTGCCACTCGTCCTCGGGGAGGAGGGGCTGCTTGAGAGCCGTGCGGCTGGCGTTCTCGGTCTTGCGCTTGTTCTGCCACGCGGTGATCTTGGCCTGCTCACGGGCGAGCGAGCGCTGGTAGTACTGGAAGTTGTTGGTCTCGGTGTGGTGCACCTCGATGCTGTCAAGCAGGAGGTCGCAGTTCTTCTCCAGAAACGGGTCGATGCTGAGGGAGAGGTTGTCGAAGTTGGGCGCCAGCACGGACGACTTGGCGTACTGAGACGACTCCAGGGCAGCCAGGGACGGGGGGAGATCGGAGGGGGTCGCCTGGACGGGGGTCTGGAGCTGGTGGATGAAGGAGGTGATCAGGTGAGAGTTGTGAATTTCAACGGGGAGCTCGACCAGGATGTCCTGGTACCTGAGGTTGGACTTTTGCAGCCTGCCAGGAAGAAGCCAATTAGCATACATCTATCATCCCCCCGAGTCAAAGGTATGAACGTACTCCTCAGAAGTGAACTTGTTCTCCTTGAAAGCCGCCATGAACTTAGGGGACAGGCGGAAAGCGCGCAGGCTCAGGCTTCCCTGTGCGCTGCGGCTGACATCGTGCACCAGAGCGACCGTGCGCTCGTTCATATCCTTCTGGTAAAAGAACTGGTTCTCGATCACGTTCATGTTGACGAAGTTGCCCATGTTGGCGCTGGTGTACCAACCGACGTTGTTGGCGTCAACGTTAACCTCGCGCATCATGCGGATCATCTCAGCCTCATAGGCGGCGTTGGCCTTCGCGCGGGGGGCAGCAGCAGCCGGGTTGGGAGCGGCGTTGTCAAAGTGCGATTCGGCGGGCACCTCAACGACGGGGAAAGGGAAGCAGTTGGTGATCTCCAGGGTACCGTCGACATCCATACCAACGATCGAACCGGTCGCAGTCGTCGGGAAGGCTTGAGAGCCGTGCTTGATGATCTTCATCACGACCTGTATGCCACGCTGTAAGCATTGCTGCCGGCCGTGAAAAAGGCGGGTGGGGGAATGGGGAGATTTTCATGGTGTGCATACCAAGGCCTCGACCTTGACGGCCGTGAGAGGGACTTCTTTCCTATTGCAAGCATTAGTATACAGATGTCCAGATCAGATCGATAAGACCAGGAAGACTTACTCCGCCATGTTGAATATGTGCCTGGGAATTGCGTATACAGACGGCGACAATGAGATGGCAGTCGGCGGCGAGGTTTGTGTGGATGGAATTCAGCATTTCCCACCGCCTAGCCCCCAATCCGGCTAGCGTGCCAAGCCCCATACGAGCCGCCGGTCCGCTTGCCTTTTTGGGTACTTTCAATCCCCCTTGCATAACTCTACACTCAAAAGCATCGTTTCTGCCAGAGGATATCTATTTCCCTTTGAATTATGCTATCATGATGGTCATAGACTTCCAATTGAGGCAAATATGCTGAAAATACTCTACCTAATGATGCCCTACCCGGGTCCCGGGGTGAACACTAACCATGACCTTATCTACGGAGTTACATCCGCAGATTCCCAAGCCAACTAACTACCGCTATCACTAACCCCTCACTAACTAGCCCAGCACTCTTGAATAACCAAGCAAGCATCTCTCATCCACAGCACCTCAAGTCATACCAAAAAGCAAACAATCGCAACAATGGGCCAAACACACCCGTCCTCCAAACCCACAGCACCTTCTCCCTCCATCGAAACCTTCCCCTACAGCACCGATCACAGCCTCCAAACCGTCACAGTGGCCACACTCAACAACGACAACAATGAAGGCTACTGGGTGATGTAAATTCCCCCAATCTAACCCTCTATATACACAAACTAACCAATAAACCACACAGTCTAATCCACGGCGGCGCCTGGCGCGACCCAACCCAAACCGCCACGAACTACCTAACCCCCGCCCTAAGCACCCTCACCACCAATCCCTCATACACCAACACCAACACCTCCCACCTCAAAGGCATCGCCTCAATCTCCTACCGTCTCAGCCCGCACCCATCACACCCGCAAGACCCCCAAACCACCGAACCCACACACCTCCGCGCCGCAAAGCACCCAGATCACATCTCCGATGTGCAATCCGCGCTGTCCTTCCTGCAAGGGAAATACAACATCGGGAGGAATTACATCCTAGTGGGACATAGTTGCGGTGCTACGCTGGCGTTTCAGTCTGTGATGGGGAGGTTTCAGGACTTGTTGAAGGGGGAGGTCATGCTGCCTCCTCCGGTGGGGATTGTGGGGATGGCGGGGATTTATGATCTTCGGTTGTTGAGGGATACGCATCGGAGTGTCAGTGCGTATCAGGAGTTTAGTGAGGGGGCGTTTGGGGCTGATGAGGCGGTTTGGGATGAGGTGTCGCCTGCTCTGGGGAGGGGAGAGGAGGGGGTATGTGGTGGGTGGAGTGGGATTGGGGATGGGGATCGGTTGGTGGCGGTGTTGGCGTATTCTGAGGGTGATAGTCTGGTGGATCCGGGGCAGAGGGAGGTGATGAGGAAGGCGTTGGAGGAGGAGTGGGTGGGTGGTGGAAGGGGGAGTGAGGAGAGGGTGGTGGAGATGTTGGATATTGAGGGGGATCATAATGATGCGTGGGAGAAGGGAGAGGATTTGGCGAGGGCGATTGTGTTTGCGATTGAGAAGGTCAGGGGTCAGTAGGCAGGCTAGATGGATTACGTAGAGTAATGGATTGAAGGTTGAATGACGAGCATGTAGTTCATTATGTCCCCTCTGTCTCTGTTCCTGACTGAAACTAAGGTATTCTACATAAGAGCCGAACCCGCCATGTCTGAGTGATCTTGAAGTCACGGGAGACAAACCCGAGGAATAAACTAGTACACATTAGAAGCAGAGGAAAACAGACCCGCCATCTTCGAAACTTCCAACGCCCACCAGTGTTCGTGATCATTATTGCAGTGCACATGAGATAATGAAATTGTAAAGACCCGTCATACGCCCGGGATTTCAGAAAGCCGTTAGCCGGAAGACGCGTATGTGTTTAGAGGAAAAAAGAGAAAAAGGATGTGAAACCGGAGAGAACGATCCAGACGCGCGATGAAATGCAAGTTCATAATGCTGCGCCCATGCCAAGTGGATATGAGAGGAAAATGAGGAAACTCCGATGAAGCAGAAAGATCATGCCAGGGAGCGTCAATCAGTTGCCAAGATCCATACGTCCAGAGGCGGCATCGCCGGCGACTCTCTCTTCCTTGGTCTCCGAGATAGGCTCGTCGTCGTCATCTAGCTCTTCCTCCTCACTGTCGTCTTCGATGTATTTGGCTTCCACACCGGCTTCACGAAGGGACGCCTTTGTCTCCTCCCGGTAAGCATCCTGCCAGCGCGCAAGGGCAGCCATGGCGTGCACCTTGAAGCCGAAGCAACGGGGCTGATAGCGGCGAATGCTCTTCTCGGGAAGCAGAGCAGGATAAACCTGGAAGAGCATGCTGTGGAACGAAGTGCCGAAGTAAGCGCCGTCGATAGAAGCATGACGAGACGACTTGGGGTTGTAGATATCCTCGCACTTGGGGCAGTACAGGCGAACAGTGCTCTGGTTGGCAACGTCGTGCTGGCCCATGGGCAGGAGGGGGTGTCCATCACACATAACACGGGGGCATTTGCCGAAATCGCAGCGCTTGTATTTCTCAACCTAGATTGTCCGTCAGAACCCCTTCACATACCCTTCACAACCCCGTAGTGTAAGACATACCATCTTGGCAAGACCGCGAGTTGTGACAATGTATCTGGCATGAACCAGACCGTAGAGGTGACGCGCCGACTTCTCAATTTGCTCGCGCAGGTCGTCGTCCGCGTCGAGGTCAAACACGTCCGTCACAAGGTCCAAAGCATACTGGTAGTAGGCGACCTCGGTGTTCAGGCCGGTAAGGTTGAAGCGATCGGTCAAGTAATCTTCGTCGATTTCGCAGAAGTATTCGTTTCCACGAGATGAGATGAACTGATGAATGAAGTCAGCATATCTCTGAGGCAGTACCACGCCATATGAATAGCTAGACGAAGAGCGAATATGTATCTGAGGTCGGGGACGAGGGCGAGCCTCGATGGGCGGTCGTAGAGTAGCAAGCGACGACTCCTCACTAGTAGAACTAGTAAACTGAGCCATCTTGTCTCACTGGTGAGGGAGTAAGAGCAAACGCGCAGCTGAAATCAACAAAGAAGCTGAGCAAAAATGATTGCAGCAGAGAAGATCTCAAGCATGAGAGCGTGTTATCCTCACTTCTGGTCCCTCACCAGCCGCAACGACATCGTCGAGAGCAGGCGCGGAGCCACGCATCTCCCTTCACTTGCAAAGCCGCCGTCGTCCCCGTTTCGCACAGAACTCACGAAGTAATTGGTAGACTCACCCAATCTCTCCAGTAGCTAGTGTAGTCACTGTCGGTTTCGCTGTTGAAGTCCTCCATGGTTCCTTCCCTT